GAATGCAACTCTTAAATAGAAAAAGATAGATAGATCGTATTTTTTTATTTGTTCATTAATTAAATACCACAGACTTTCATGTATAAAAAGAGAACAGGTCAGATGACACTTTGCTGACCATTCAGAGACATGTAGACGCTCCATCTAGCATTAATATTATCTACTCTTTGACGATTTTAATAAGGAATAATTAAATAAATAAAAGTGCTTTACATATTAATTGCCGATTGTGGGGGGAAAGGATTGTTAGTAACGCGGACTACCAGCGCCATTGCTAGCAATATACCCTATCAGGTCGACTCCTACGTGATCCCTCTAGAAACAATCGTCCCAGGTGTATTCGTCACGATGGGCTAACTGACCTGCCTTTTTATTCTCAGCTGTTCTCTCTCACTGGTTCCCAGCCGTTAGCGCGGGCGCAGTTGCCATTTCGTTATCAACCATTGAAAAAAAAATTGCCGACTGTAAACGACTGTATAATTCTCTAACGTTTCCCTTTGTTTCAATATAACTAATTAAAATGGAAAGCGCTAGCAGCGTTTCAGCGCTGGAAAATTTCATATGACTTCTTATTTGCTATATTTAGCCAGTTAACGTGACTCATTTGTCCTGGAGTCACGTTAGTGACTAGTACTTATTAAAGTGGCGTTGGTAAGCACAATTTATTTAGCCACGTTACAGAGTGATGTATATAATTGTACGAACGGCGACAATCTGGACGCATCACGTTACCGACCGAGATATAATATCTTCGTATAAGTTCTCTATGGCAGATCACTAATTGTTTTTTATACAACTTAGTATGGCAAACAAGCTGACGGCCCACCTGATGGAAAGTGTTAATAACTATAGAATTAATTCAAAAAAAAATATGAATATTTAATTTAAACGTAAATTAAGGAATTAAATGTTTATCTCATTTTTCTATAGAAATAAATAGAATAGGCCACCCCTTTTTTTCTTGTGGTTGTCGTAGCGAGTAATGGAGGGCGAGGGATGGGTAGCAGCTTCCCTCTTAAAACATCTCCAAAGCCTAACTGCGATCACCAATTCGCCTGCCAAGCGTGGCAACTACTGGCAACACCCTTATGGGGGAGACTTATGTTCAGCAGTGGACAATTAAAGGCTGATATGTTGATATATGATATATAGGAATGGTGTCCTCTGGTAACAAGTGTTCATAGGCCACGTCATACACAAGAGCTTCTAATATGGCTCATCAGACGACTTTACGTACCCGCCAAAGTAAGTAGGAGGCAATAATCCTTTTTAAATAATCCATCAAAAAAATTGGAAGTCTGTACTTCCATTTTTTTTTTTTGTGTAGGCTGAAATTAGATTTTAGGGTCACAAACAAGTGTTATCCAACTAAACTGTTGACGCCAATAGGAACTATACAAATAAATGTATAAGTAATTTTCTAGATTAATCCATTTTTATTATATTTTTTATATATAAAGTGGAAATATTTGATTCTTTGTTTATAATAGGTGAACTCAAAGATACACAACGGATATTAAAAATTCTTTCACATATAAAAAGCAACATTATTAGCGTAACATAGAGTGGGTTTTATTTTAAAAATAACCGCACGGAGGCGACGCGAGCCACTAGTATTTAATAAACTGACATTCTCGTATCAATTAGGAGAATAAATTTCAAATAATCCGACCGTATTACGATTAGAATAAAGTAGTTTTCTGAAATTAGTAAAAAATTTACTCTTTCTTTAGTAAAAATTATTATTTTGATTTAAATATAATGTTGAAAAATAGACAATGTTTTATTTTTGTTTTTTTTTTTTAATAGTGCTTAATTCCCCCTGTCGCAGGAATTCGTCTGATCCATGACTCACGGGACACTCTGTGTATAATTATATTTTTCCTATTACCGGATTTAAGTTATGGAATTGACATTTTATGTGAAATTTAATATAAAATAAATAATTTATAGTTATTTATTAATATTAAATATTGTAAAAGACATGACATGTACAAAAATTATAATTACCTGTAGTGTGTTGGAGTTTATTCACCTGTAAATTGCAGGTAACAATAAAGAAATAAATAACTTCTGTTAAATCCTATTATCTTCCTCTTTAAGTACTATTTTCCCGTATTCTCTCTTCACCTTTTAGTTTCATTCTTTCCCGTTGTATGTGTGCTTTTAAGTATGTTTATATATATATATATATATATATATATATATATATATATATATATATATATATATTTGTATATATTAGTTTATATATAATAGTGTGCCACCTATCCTTTTTTTCTTTTCTCAATGCCCTCTACCCAAAGGTTGTCTGGAAAAGATTGCTTAGCGACAAGGCTACCTTTTGTATCAATTCTCATTAAAATTAACTGTATTTACTATTTTATAAATGGTGCAATAAAGTGTAATATAATAATAATAAATAAAATTAATCTAGATATTACATATATACAGCACTATCATACCTATTTGTACAACAATTAGTCCATTACCTTAAGGTTGTCTTGAAAAGATTGCTCTCAGCAATAAGACCGCCTTACTGTACTTATACAATTGTATCGTTGTGTTTGTTAATTGTCTTGCTTATTTCCTATATTGTATAATGCAAATAAATTATACTCATTCATTCATTCATATAGTTACGCTTTTTATATCATTTTGAAATTATAATAAAATATTTAAATTCTATAGTCTATAAATCCTGTCTATGAAATAACATTTTTCTACAAAGAAATCCGTTACACAAATACTTGAGTCAATTTAGTAAAGCGCAAGCTCGTAGTAAATTATTAGGTAGAATTAAAAAGGGATCACTACGTAGCTACGAACGTTGCGCTACCGTGCTACGAAATAAGGTCTACGCAGACAATAGACGTAGTGGTGACAAAAATTCCTTTTATGTAAATTATATTTATATCAATATCAATCAGTGATGATGGAACGGTTACGCGGGGTATCAGTGGTGATAAGTGAGGATGAAGGCAGGCCAATTAGCCCTCCTCTAAGCCGTGTTCTTGCACAACAAATCGTGTCTAGAAATTTAGGAGAGAAGGGAATAATTTTTATAATCCTAGTTGTTATATAATAAATTATTTTTTTTTATAACAAATAAAATTAAGAAGCTAATATCTGTTGTTGATTTGTTTTGTAAACCAAAGACGAGAAGACAAGGCAGGTAATGGGAAAATTTGTCGGGCGTACAAAATGTCCGTCGTCAACGCAAACTATTTGACTGCACATTTATAGGGCATAAATAAACATGTTATAGAAACAATATCGACATAGATATCAACTATATACTTGTTAGCTTTTAAACCTTATTTCCCATGCAATAGAACTTGAATTAACTTGATTGTCTGAATTTAGATTTGGAGTGACTATTGAATATTTATGTTAAAATAAAGTTTATACGAATGACAAAAAATATTTTTAAAAGGGTTTAATCATTAGTTACTCGAAATCTTTATGTATGTCTATATTTATATGTATAACTTTATATAGTATCACACTAGGTTCTTTTTTATGCAACTTAGAATGGCAAACAAGCTGACGGCCCACCTGATGGAAAGTGGTAACCGTCGCCTATAGACATGAGCAGTACCATGGACATAATAGAGTATACTGTTTATAGAGTGAGAATAGGTATCTTTACAATGCAGTCTAGAATATCTATGCCTATGACCTGTGATGCTGACTCATCTTATATACACGTGACAGTCATCTTTGAATGACGTTAATAGCATAATTGTAAGGGTTCTCGTTTCCCATAATAAAAGTCTTAGGTTTATTTCTTTTCGGAGCTATGGGACCATGTATAAATTAAGGCACACGATTTTCATGTATTTTTGAACTGCCTCGTCCTTGTCACAGCTGGTTATATTTAGAGGCTCCCCTCTCCCTAGTGTAACGTCCCATATTTGAAAAATACCAATTTGACCAATACTAAAAATTCCTTTCCCCTGGCAATAAGAAATTAAGTAATTAATAACAGTGATTATAATTCATCTATAAATTAGGATAGATCCTAAATATGTGCTAATTTAAAGTGTTTGCTTCCTTAATAGGGACCATTCATAAATTACTTCACACGTTAAGGAGAGGCGGGGGGGTCGACGGAGTGTGGCGTCGTGTAGCAAAGTGTGGGAACACTCATAAGTTTTGTGATGGAACATTTCAAAATCAATGCCTAAGTATAGAATCGCGAAATTTTAACTAATAAAGAAAACTTTATTATTATTATTCCATATTATATATATATATATATATATATATTCTTTATTGCACTAAAACATACAGTAATAACAATAAATTAATAACAATGTTAGCAAAGGCGAACTTATCCTTAAAATTGATTAATGAGATTTCTTCCAGTCAACCTAACACAGTGGCATAGGAAGTAGTGAGTGGGCAGTAGTAGTGCTAAACGGAAATTAAAACAAATATTTACATAAATTTATGTATAATATGTAAATTATTGATGTGCCTATTTCGAATAAATAATGTTGTGTTTCACTGGAGAAAGACCGGCTTGATTTTCCTCTCAAACAATCAATACGTCGCTGTCACAAGGACGAGGTCAAAACTGCAGCTAGTAGATAAAAACACTAACTGAATTTATAAATCCATATACGGTCACATCACAGTTTCAATTGTACATTATTTATTCACATACTCTTGTGATACCTTGATTACAGTACGGGTTTTTTTTTTAACAATATAAACCGCTCACTGTAACCGGCGAGGGCGGCAACAGTCTGTGAACGGCCGTCGTGATCGCAACTCGACTGTTTCCACGTTGAATACTTAATTTTTACGTTTTCGGAAATCGCGTACCGTGCACATGGCACGATTAATCCGTGGACAGATTCGGCTGCTTAATTGTTGGTGCCAACAAGCCGTTCCACCCTCCGCTGGGTGGTGGGTGCGGGATGCTTCGCTACTTCAGTCGCGCGGGGCTACGAGGGGGAGAGGGGCACGTGTCGGCGGGCGTGCACGTTGCGAGTCGGCGTGCCGGCGCGCACGTGGCTGTGAGCGTGCGCGCCTAGCAGCGCACCAGCTCCTTCAATCCTGCCGCGGTTTTCATCGGGATCGGTCGCGTTCTAATTACAACGCACTCTACAATGATCGAGTGTGTCACGCTTGACAAGTTCGGTACGTCCCAACGGTGGCCCGTGCGCCGCTTGGACCGGCACGGCTATATCGATATGGCAGCCGACTCAACGGGCGCCCGTGGCTGGTACGCGGATAATTCTGATTCGTACCACGAGTGTTTCCTTCCGCCGCCGTCCACGCCGCTCGCGGTCCACCACAGGCGGCTGCCGTTGCCACCGCCGCTGTCGACAGGTACAACATTTTGTTGTTCATGTGATTTTCTAATTAGATACAGCAATTATGGTATTATTACTGAATTGTTGAATGACGACTAGAAATGAACATGTTTTAAGGATATTCAAAGTGGTGTCGCGTCTTTCGGAAAGATTGAGGGTAGAGCGGGTTGATTTAGTAAAAAATAAATATATCTGCTTTCATGGCAGATTTCTTATGATTCTGATGATATAGAAAGGATTTTTTTTTAATAGATGACAATGGAATAATAACTACTTGCAGTATTGTTATCCGCAGGCAGCGCTGGTGAGACGCCAGTGAGGGATGATATGTGAGGTTACTCGAAAAGGTTTGACCGATAACGGCCTTTAGCGCGGTATTCTTTAAAGTTCCAATTTAAACAGCATGTATATAGTTGATATAAAATGCTACTTATATTATAAACTAGTTACATGCCGCGGTTTTGCCTGCAGTCGCATCATAATGTTAAATACCTTATAACCTTAAAGGAATGAGCTATCAAATACGTAAAAAAAAATTCAATATCCGATAGGCAGTTCCAAAGATTATCGCGTTCAAACGAACAAACTCTTCCGCGTTATTATATTTATTATAATTACATTCCTATTAATATTTAAAAAAATTGCAAAAATATTTGGATGTTTGTAACTCATTCACGCGTAAACGGCTGAACAGGTTTGGATAACGTTTGATACACAGATAGGTATGTTATATATATATATATATATATATATATATATATATATATATATATATATATATATATATATTGATCCTTAAGGGCAAAATTGCGAGGGGCATCACTAGATTAAAAAAAGAAGCATTTATTGCTCTTACTAGAACGTATAACAATGAAACAACACTTTGGATTATATAGATAGAGCATCGAGTCTCAAAATCGGGTGTACTTTTTGTCAGCTAATTGTTAAAATAGCTGACTCGTTTTTTTATCAGTGTTCTATATACTTACGCACATAATGTATTTTGACGTATCTCTATAATAATTATTTAATAAATAAAATGAGTTTTTACGCATTAAAAAGATAAAAAAAAATTAAAAAAGAAAATGAATATAGAAATTATAAAAGAAACACTCATAATTGTTTATCACGCAAAATTGTATGAAAAAATTGACCCGCTTTTTTCGAAGTATTTGTATGGAAATATTCTATATATACATATAATCTAAGTACAACACAAAATACAAACTCTACATATATCAGTAACTGCTTACAAAACACAAAATGTGTGGGAAAATATCATGAACCACAGGTAATGTGTACAAAAGATGTTAAGTTTATTTTGAACAATCGACTATATTAATTACAGATTACAGTATAGTAACAAACTTTATAGTCAGCTATATATATATATATATATATATAGTCCAGTATACATAAGTTTGATAAGATATCACCAAAGAAAGGTACATCAATGCAATTTTATTTGTGCATGATAAATTGGTGACCCCGCCTGTGCTACCGGTATGCACTGTCAGAGTACTATAGAGAGATGATAGGTGAAGATGAAGACAGATCAGTTGATTCACCATGGCGAAATCATCAAGAATTAACTACAATGATTTCCATTTCCACCCATTCCATTGTCACCTATTAGAAAAACTAGTAATAGGGTAACTAGACGTGAATTTACTGGGTATAGAGGAATAACACCCGAGTCCTCAGGAATGGCAATGCATGGGGATATCATGGGCGAAACAGTATACTCTGTTATGTCCATGGTACTACTCATGTCTACAGGCAACGGTTACCACTTTCCATCAGGTGGGCCGTCAGCTTGTTTGCCATTCTAAGTTGTATAAAAAAAAAACTAGTCTACATTGTCCAACAATGCCTTTCCCCGAAAAGTTTTATTTTGGCTTAAAGTGTAGGATTTAGTAGTGGAATATACCTTCAAGAGAAGAGCATATTCCTTCCTAAAAGACTGTCAAATTCTCTGATATCAATCGCTTGCACCTTTTTTTTTCCGTGTGGAAAATCTTCGGAAAGACCGTCCATGTTTTTAAAAAAAAATACTAAAAAATCTAACCTATTATTAATCTTAATATATACAAATACCGTCTCACTATATTTGTTCCCGTTAATCTACGAACCCTCTCTATCTTAAGGAATATGGTCCTTTTGTCCCGGATAACAAAATTGAACCTGGTGAATTACTGTAAGTAGTAAAACAATATTTGCCCAATCAGCTATATAGTGGGGGGGGGAAAGAGATTGTTAGTAATGGAGACTGAGAATCCTATTGCTAGCAATATACCCAACCAGGTCGACCTCCTCGCGGTTCCCCCTGGAAACTATCATGGTTCATTCCTGATGAATTCATCATGATGTGCTAACTGGCCTGTTTTCATTCTCATATATCACCCTTCACTGGTGCTCCGCCAGCGTATCCCGTTAGCGCAGGCGGGGTTACTATATCATTTTCACCCATAAAAAAAAATCAGCTATATAGTATATATAACTGCGTTATATTATTAATACTATAATTTATTCTATGGTTATTATTATGTATTATGAGGAGTAATTATTATTAATTATTATAATCCTATGGCATGCCATATTGTTGACTGACACATGTATTTATAGCATCAATAATTCTAAAAAAAAAAACCATTAGGTTAGACAGTCGTTAGTCAATCGGTATATATATCAGCCAATTTCCATTGCTATTTAATACTAGGTATAAACCGCGGCTTCGCCCGCGTAAACAAGTACGTAAAGTATTTATCAATTTATTCTTTAATAGCAACAAGTATTGCATCCGTGCGAAGCCGGGGCAATATTTGTTTGTGTAACTTTAAAACTGTTTAAAACTTTAAAAATATTTTAGTAAGGTTGGTATTTTAGCGTATGTGAAAATACTGCACTAATATTCTCTAAGTTTTTTTTTATACAACTTAGAATGGCAAACAAGCTGACGGTCCACCTGATGGAAAGTGGTAACCGTCGCTTATAGACGTGAGCAGTACCGTGGACATAACACAGTATAGTGTTTCGCCCATGATATCCCCATGGGTTGTCATTCCTGAGGACTCAGATTTTATTCCTCTGTACCCAGTAAATTCACGCCATATCCCACCCTTCAAACCGAAACACAGCCATGCAAACACAACTGTTTCACAGTTGGAACAATTTATTTTTAACATAAAAGTTATTGTTATGGCTGAGATATTGAACTTAGATATGTTACCTGTGTCCTCAGGAAACGGCATGGAGGGTATCATGGGTGAAACATTATTCTCTTTTATATCCATGGTACTGCTCGTGCCTATAGGCGACGGTTACCACTTCCCATCAGGTGGGCTGTCAGCTTGTATGCCATTCTAAGTTGCATAAAAAAAAATTACATGAAAGAGTAACGTCCATCAATAGATTCTCAGAAACTTACGCGTTTATAATAGTACCCAGTAGGGTACTGTGGCTAGACAATAACATATTGAATTTGTAAATAACTAGCCACTAGATCTCGCTTCGCATCGCTTTTTTTTTAATTAAAATTCAGTCCTCTTTCCTTACCAATTATATTTTTTATACGACTTAGAATGGCACACCTGATAGAAAGTGGTGGTGCAGTGGACATGAGCAGTACCATGGACATAACAGTACACACACATACTGTTTCGCCCATGATACTCCCCATGCGCTGCCATTCCTGAGGACTCAGGTGTTATGTCAGGTGCTGTACTCTGTAAATTCACGCTCTGTAAACAACATTTAAAATATATATCTATTTGTCATTAAATATATCAATATCTGGCTGCTGAGTAATCAGAGAAATGAGCAGAGAAATAGCCTGATAAGTGGGAGCAAACTTTACAGAGAAAGACTCGAATCTCTTCTCTTTATTATATTAGTTCAGACAAGGGAAGACGTCATTAGATTGATATTATTTGTCCTTTTTGTTAGACAATATCTCTCTGGTCAAAGCGCCAGAATGATATAGCGTCTGACCGTTATTTTACTTCGAAACGAGGAATTTTGCATATTACCAACAAGTTTTTGCTTTTTTAAACGCGCTAACTGATTCGGCAAACTATCTTTTCTAGCCAAGATAAGTTGGTGTGACCAATACAACTCTAACGTTAAAAAATCAATTAAACAGCTTTGGAGATTAGCGTGAACAAATATTGTGATACGAGGAGAAAGGGATTGTTGACAATGGAGTTTGACAGCCCCATTGCTAGCAATATGTCTCCTATTAGGTCGACGTCCACGTGGTTCCCCCTGGAAACCATCGTGAACAATTCTTGTTGATTTCGCCACAATGGACTAACTGACCTGCTTCATCCTCACCTATTATACTTCACTGGTGCCACGCCGGTGTATACCAATAGCGCGGGTGGGGTTACCATTCTATTATTACCAATTAAAAGAAAAAACATTATGACACGGGGTTTTTATTTATTAAGATTAAGACTTCGAGAGGGTTTACACCCTCTTAGGTTTCATATTTATTTTGTCACAATTAAATTCGTTATTATTTACATACCTGTTTATTATTATTTCAATACAACAATTAATACATTCCATTTAATAGAAATAATAAAAAAGAAAACGTCGAAATAATTAAACCAAAACACATGTCAAACTGTCCTACTATTTTTATATTTAATTTAAAGGATTTGAATAAAATTTCGTATAACAAACTGAAATAACCTAACCGAGTTTATTTCATGACTTAAAATATAGGATACGTCATACAAAGACTAGCACAAGTAAAGCCACGGGGTAGAGCTTGGCAACTATACCAATAAGATAACAAAAGCTGTTGCAATTCTAATTTCCCACAATTTTATTCGGAACGGATGTGTAAATACAAAATAAGCAAAAACGGATACTGATTATATTGTATTTCAATAGTGCAATTGTAATAAGCGAATACACGATGTATTCGGAGACATACAAGCTTGCACTGTAACATAACACACACACGATAAGGGCTTTAAAGCTTATACTCATTAAATAATCACTGTTTAG